GGTAGTCCAGAATGTCATATAACAAGATCAAAATGTCGAGGACCAAAGGTCACCAATGTCGGAGATGACAGAGTCCAGATGTAACCGGTGTCCAACTGTGATGCAGCCGAGTATCAACCTCAACAATCTCCAAGTCTCCAATCAGGTAAGTACCACAGTCTCGTATCACCGAAATCCAACTCTGATCTCTGTCCAACTGGATAGTCTCCAATCAGGTAAGTACCACAGTCTCGTATCACCGAAATCCAACTCTGATCTCTGTCCAACTGGATAGTCTCCAATCTGAAGAAGAAGAAGAAGAAGAAGAAGAAGAAGAAGAAGAAGAAGAAGAAGAAGAAGAAGCAGAAGAAGAAGAAGGAGGAAGAGGAGAGAGAGAGAGAGAGGGGACTGGCGAGGGAGAGGAGGAGAGACCCTCCAAGCTCCCGATACCTCAGGCGGTAATAACCGCCGTGCAAGCTCAGTCGCCCGCTGCTGCTCCGCTCGCTGCTGCGCTATGCTGCGCTCCTGCTTCAGCCCGTGCGCTAAGTTTAGCGCATCAAACAGTGCACTAGCACTGACCATGCCGTGCCGGTAGAGTTCCGGTAGGCCGATCCCACTACTGAGGCGGATACCGGTACTTATACCGGTGGGCAATGGTCTGGCCTCAATGCTGCGAGGCCAGGCCAGACCCTGAACCGTCCAGATGGACGGTTCAGCCTCAATCGGCGGGCGGCAGCTTCAAGAGCGCCGCCAGGCCCAAACGAAGTGTCGTTTGCCCAAACGAAGTGTCGTTTGGGCCTACCCGATGGGTGATAGTCCAAAATCAGGTCTTTAGGGCCTGTAAACCCCAAAGGTCGGGCCTTTAGGCCCTGGTGTGTCCCTCCGGCCCTAAGTCGGGTCCGGTAGGACCCGTGTGAGTCGAAGATGTAAATATGGGGAGTTGTCGAGGGTGGAAGGCACACTACTGTCTTTTGGTGAGCTGGTGCCTAGTCGATGCTGGCCGGAGCCGGGGTGGGTCGCTTTGCCCCTGTGGCCTAGCAGGTGGGGGGTTTCTGGGGTGGGTCACGCGACTCTGTGACCTAGCAGTTGGGGGCATGAGGCCGGGTAGAGATTGGGCATTGGGATACAGGGGTGAGGCAGGTGGGTTGGGGCTGCTGAAAAGCCCCAGGCAGATGGTCTTTCGTTCAGAATGCTTCTTTGATCCAAGCCTTGGGGGACACAGATTTTTAGTGTTCTTGTGTACATTACTAGTTGTCTATCGTAGCCAAAGCCAGGCAAGGGCCCCGGTATCTTAAGGATCTTTCCATAAATTTCTCATTTTCAATATGAAAAAAAGATCCAAGGTTTGGTTGGTTGTTCATGGTTGCCAAGGGGGAGCTTAAGAATGATTTAGGATTCTGGGGACTCCTAGCAACCCGTCTTAGATGGCTCCATTGCTGATATACTCAAGTGATCTGTGGCTGTTCGATGCCAGAACGACGCTGGCCGGTGCTGGGGTGTTGCTCTGTACCCTGCTGATGCAGGAGTGTGAGGCCTGGTAGAGAGATCTGGGGATGCTTTGGGGTGGGCATTCCAAGGGACAACCAAGGGTTGCTGCTGGGACGACGCTGGTCAGAGCTGGGGTGAGTCGTGTTGCCCTGTAACCCAGCAGGGTGGGAGTGTGAGGCCTGGAAGGGCCTGGCAGGGAGTAAGATAGTGCTGGAGAGTTTTAGAAGGGTTGCTAGGGATCTACAGGGTTTTGAGCATTTGTAGAACCTCTGGGGTGGCGTGTTTTGTTGTGGCCAGACCTTTTTTCTGAAGTTTGTCGTAGTAATTTTCTAAGTCGTTCAAAATTTTCTTAGCCAAAGCCGGGTAATGGCCCCTGTATCTCAAACTTTCAAAATTCTATGTAAATTTCCATATGCGACGCTGGGCCCAGTTCCCAGCACGTGCTGCTCCCCACAAATAGATTGGAGCCTTGTCTTTCTCAAAAAAAAAAAAAAAAAAAAAAAAAAAAAAAGGTGAAGGCTCCGTGAAGCAAACAGTGAAATAGGGGCAACAGTAAAGCACAGGGTGAGAGGACGGGCAAAGCAAGGAGCCGGGCAAACAGCAAGGCAACAAGGCAGGTGAGCGAGCGGGATAATAACAAGACCAGGAGATGAGGAAGGCAAGGCAAGCACAGTAGGCAAAGCAGCAGAGCAGCAAGGTGACATAAGGCAAACCGGCAAGCAGAAGGGAAAGACAAGGCTATCGAATGTGTGTGGCCAGGCAGTGGAGTGGCAACAATAAGGCAGTTCACAAAGCAGATCATCACCTGGTCACAGCACAAGTAGAACTCTAACAAACTCTAGGTTCGAGCCAGCATCAGAGCCAGCCAGGGAGTCGCTTCGATGACTGCCTCTGTTTCACCAGACAATACACAGGCACAAAGCCATTCCGAACACAGCAGAACCCCCCTAATAGTTTTGCAGGACTTTGGATTGATGTGTCATTTGTCCTTGTCTAAGTCCCGCTGAAGACACCGGGTGCCGGACTGGTAGAAAAGTGTTGCGGCATGGCAGCCACTTCAGGGATTGCCGAGCTGTTTTTCCGTATATTCTGCTAAAGTTCAGCGATGGCCTCGTCTCTTGAAGCTTCGCTTTTGCGTTTTTCAAAACTTGAACTTGGCTTTGCTCATGGATGTGATTCTTTTTCTGTCTTTTGTTCATCTCCCGCTGATTTGTGTTTGACTATGTCTCTTTTTTTGCATCCATGTATGAATGGACTGGTACTGTCGATACAGCTGTAGTTACTCATCCACTTCTTCTCACTTCCCATTCTCAAATGGACTTTTACGGTTTTACCGCTTCTCATTTCAATTCGTTGCATTTTGCCTTTGTTGAATAGATGTGCTTCTTCCCTCCTTCCCTTCTTTGCTTATCTGGGCTGTGATTGACTTCAGTGTGGCAGCCAGGGTGCAAGGGACTGCACATTTCATGCCATTCTTCAGCCTGCTCCTCTGAGATTCTTGCTCACAGGATTCACTGTAAGCGCTCTCTCTCTCTCTCTCTCTCTCTCTGTCTCTCTCTCTGTCTGTCTGTCTGTCTGTCTGTCTCTGTCTCTCTCTCTCTGTCTCTCTCTCTCTCTCTCTCTCTCTCTCTCTCTCTCTCTCTCTCTCTCTCTCTCTCTCTCTCTCTCCACTTCTCTTAAGGGACTGCAACTCTTAAGCCAAAAAAAAAAAAACCTATCGTGAGTGAGTGCATCTGCCTTCATCCGTGGTCATTTGTGACAAAGAAACAGTAAGTGTGGCCTAAGGTGGCCAGGATAACAATGAATGTGGGCATGATTACGGCCATTCCTAACGAAATATGGCCAGGAATACAGCCAAATTCATGGTCGTTCCTAGCCAAGTGTGGCCATAAAAATTGTCATTCCTGGCGAAATGTGTGAACATAAGCATGGCTGTGCGTGGCACTGCCCTGATTCATCCTCACATTTGGAAAACGATGCCATGGTGTGAAAACAGCACCCTACCTTCTTACACCCGAATAGAACGCCTGGTAATTATCGCTGTACCTATACTGAAAGTTTCCCCAAATACAGCTATCTTGACGGGGCATTCTATTGGGGTGAAAATGGTAGTCCAATGACCACAATTTTTTCACAATCTTTTGACCCCTTAGAGGAAACCTACTTTTTTCCAGTCATTTTTCTGCAGCACAGCCATGCATGTGCCGCAACTTTCGGAATGGCTGGGGGCACCAGCCAAAACAGAAATCAGGCTGGTTCATTTTTCTTTGGCGTGCAAGGGGGAATCCACTTCGGCCAATGGAAGCCTCCAAGTACTGCTGGATTAAATTTTTATTGGAACACCACAGAGAAAATTGACCTGGTCACTCTGCACGGATGGCATGCACAGTTTGTCTTTTTTTGTTTCGTTTTTGTTTTCAAAGTTTTACGTGTAGAAGCAAATTCTCCAAATTTATGACCAAAATCAAGAAATGGTCGTAAACCTCCACTACCTGCGAGCCTCTTAGGCGGAAACGAATTGTGCGCCAAGCTTTGCTGAAGCACCAGCACGACTTTTTTTGCTCTTTGACTGGCGCCGCCAGCCATTTTGGTCCAGCGGCACCCGGCCTCCAAAGAATGTGGTGTATGGCAGTTTTGCGTTTCAAGTTGGCTTGTGAAAGGTAGTGGCGGTGTGAAAAAAGAAAAAGAAAGAAAAGAGAAAGAAATCCGGAACAGTAAATTCTCAAAGCAGAGACGAGGAGAGAAGAGAGGGGAAAGATTGGGACCCATGGAGGAAAGGCAAGAAGGGACACATAAAAGCTCAGTGGGTAGAGCACCGGTTGGCACATTGTTGTTTGAGGTTGTGGGTTCAAAACCCTGCAGCCCACGCGTGGGCACAGGTGGGAATCGACCAACGCACGGCCGTACACACTAATCCCTTGGGGGAGGGTGTATGGTAAGGATTACAGACACTGCCGCATCATGAAGGGATTTAGTTGATGTAGCTCAGTGGTTAGAGCACCGGTTGGAAATGCGCATTGTGGTATGAGGTTGTGGGTTCAAAGCTCCACAGCCTCGTGCATGGACACCGGCAGGGCGTTAGAATGACGCACGGCTGGACACACACTCCCCTGGGCTGACGCATGGTACTATTACAGACACTGCCTGCGCACCACCCAGGGGGTCAGTCCATGGGTGTTGTATGCTGGTCTAGTCTTCAAATTGGTTGCTGGTTGTTGTTGGCTTTGGTTGCTCTGATGATCTCCCCAGTCCAGACACTACACACATTATATCCATTTCCCACGGTAGTGCAAGTGGCAGAACCCTCCAGTTTCATACTGTTAGTATGTCACAGGTTCGAGTCCGGTTCCGGACTTTGGGGGGGTCCTTGTACAGATACTGTCTCTTATACACATCTAGATGTGTATAAGAGACAGGTCCAGACACTACACACATTATATCCATTTCCCACGGTAGTGCAAGTGGCAGAACCCTCCAGTTTCATACTGTTAGTATGTCACAGGTTCGAGTCCGGTTCCGGACTTTGGGGGGGTCCTGTCCAGATAGACCTGTCTCTACCACATACACACACAATGAGATACTACCCCAGATAGCACAATCCATACACTGTGACACATACTATACATATATATATGAGGGTTCAGCCTCCTGATGAGTCGGTGAAACTCCGACGAAACAGTTTGTCACAGCCCCTCGTTTGTTGTCCTCTTCTCTCTCTCTGCCTACGGTTTACCGGGCAGTTCTGTTTGTGACGATATATATATCGTCACAATATATATATATATCGTCAAATAGAACTGCTATATATATATATAATATATCGTCACAATATATATCGTCAAATAGAACTGCCCGGTAAACCGTAGGCAGAGAGGGAGAAGAGGACAACAAACGAGGGGCTGTGACATATATAACTCAAGGTACACACACACGTAGATGTACTAGTGGAGGTGATAAGAGCACTTCTCACCAGTACTCAGTACTCACTTCGCAGATGCTCCATGGTGGGGAGCAGCATACAACCATACATATAGCCCACGGGCACACATCTGTGATACAGAGTACATACACACATACACAACCATAGGGTTGGGAGGAGGTTACGATCAACTGATAATGAGGATAAGCGTCTCGATGATAAGTACCCCGCCTTAAAAATACAGCTAGGGTCTGTGGTGGGAGAGTAGAGGGCGTGGGTCACTGGTTGGCTTGGTGGGTTCTGACTGGTGATGATGATAGGTGTCTCAATGATAAGTAGGGCCCGCATTAAATATACAGCTAGGTCTGTGGTGGGAGAGTAGAGGGCGTGAGTTACTGGTTGGTTCAACTTAGGGGGCTCACACACACGCGCGCGCGCCCGCATACACAAGGACTGGGTGGAGGTCACGATCAACTGATAATGATGATAGGTGTCTCGATGATAAGTACCCCGCCTTAAATATACAGCTAGGGTCTGTGGTGGGAGAGTAGAGGGCGTGAGTCACTGGTTGGCTTGGTCGGCTCCAACTGGTGATGATGATAGGCATCCCGATGATAAGTACCCCGCATTAAATATACAGCTAGGCCTGTGGTGGGAGAGTAGAGGGCGTGAGTTACTATTTGGTCAATTTAGGGGCCAATAGGTGATTGCTTGAGCCTGGCGTCCAAAGTACCCGTACGACGAGGCTCATTCAACTATGCTTCAACCAGGGCTGCGTAGCTAGCCCTGGTGCCTGTCACTACTGTTCGGTCCAAGTTCCCCTCGATACGTAGGGTGATGGTCTTGAGTGCTGGTCACACTGAGGTAGGATGGTAGGGATAGGGGATGCGCTAGGAGTAGTGACGCGAGGATGGGATGGGTGGTGGCCTCGCCTCAGAGCGACCATGGCTGACCACTCCGGTGATCAATGTGTGCCTAGTAACTGGCTCTACAACACCCTGGGCTTAAAAAATAAAATAAATAAATAAATAAAAAATGAAGGGATTTAGTCCAGGTTGTTGTATGTCGGATTCTGCCTTCGTGGGTTTACTTGAGGATGTTGGCTATTGGTTGTTCTGATGATCTTCCCCGTCTGGTATTTCCGTCTAGCACACATGGTAGACTATTGTAGTTAGATGCTGCAGGGTACAGGTTTGAGTCTGGCTTGGGACTTTGTGGGGGGTTCTAGTACAGATAGGCCTGGCCTCTATATCTACTACACACATATGGCACCTGCTCCAGCTTACAAGTCCTAACTACATTACCTACGGGCATACCTATACACCACCTCTAGGGTGCATACCCAAGGCCTATGGGCACCTACACAGCCTACGGTCACTGACACACAGCTTATGGGCATAACACCCTGCCTGCGGGCACACATACATGGCCTTCGGGCATATATTCCGCTCATACAATGCCTACAGGCAGACATACATGTGTCACGATATATAGATCTGTCTATAGCATTAGGTGGGGGGGACCAGTCTCTGTAGGGGCTTATCATGGGCTTAGATCCGGGCTATGGGGAGTCTGGTCTGGCCTGCACGAATGCTTAGCAGTGATTAGGTCATCGGTAGGACTGATCGTGATACTGCTTGTGCCTGGCGTCCGAAGTCCCCGGGTAACAAGGCTTGCGCGTTACTGCTTCCACTGGGGCTGGGTGGGGTAGCTGTCTAGCCCAGTGCCTATAACTGCTGTTCCGTCCACATCACCCTCTGAGGGGCTGGGGTTGATTGTCCTGACTCCTGAGTGCTTGTCACTGAGGTAGGATAGTGGGCATAGGGGTATGCTAGGAGAATTGACGAGTGACGCTGGGCCTGGTTCCCTGCACGTGCTGCTCCCCACGAATAAGACCGGAGCCATCAACACAGCGAGCGCTACTGCGGGCCTGGGCTCTTATCCCGGCAGGCAGTAGGTGCTCCTCCAGCTGACGTTGCAACCGAAAAAAAAAAGAAAAAAAAAAAGGAAATCGATGTGAGGCTAGGCTTCATTTCCGTGCGCACGGGTACCCCCGGCACACACGGATTGTTGCATGGCCGCACGGCCGTGCGGGTCCCCAGTACGGACCCCGTGCGGCCCCAGCGCGGTGTGCTTGGGGGGCAGTTCTGGGGACAGCGGGCCCAGTTCCAGCACCTCGCGAATTTTTTAAGGCCCCCCCACACATCGAATTTTTTTTCGGCGCGCGGGGGGCCTTAAAAAATTCGATCTTGGACTCGAGATCTCAGTCGTAGATCTTCGAAGATCTACGGCGGAGATTCGTCGAGGATGTCCCCACGACCCGTGCGTTTTCGAAATTGAGTTTGAAATTTCGAACTGCGCGGGCCTGAGGACGGGGGTCCCTCGTGTTGCCATTCCGCCCGCCATTTCGTCGTCGTCGCCGTTGTCAGTCAGGTCACGCCATTGCCATTCCGAACAGCGAAGCTAAGTGACTGTGGTCTTCTTCTTCTTCTTCTTCTTCGTTGAACTTCTTTACCCGCTGCTCCTCCTCCTCCTCCTTCATCATCTTCTTCTTCGTTCAACTTCTCCATGTGCTCGTCGTCCTCCACTTCTCTTCCGCCATCGTCCACCTCCCTCCCGCCACTTCGTTCCTGCTCTTCTGCCATCTCCCGCCACCTCCCACTACCCCTCCTGCTACCTCCCACTATCTCCCACGTCCCTCCCACCATCCTCCGCCTCCCTCCCGCCAATCCTCCGCCTCCCTCCCGCCAATCCTCCGCCTCCTTCCCGCCACCTACTACCTCCCCTCCCACCATCTCCCACTTCCCTCTCTCCTTCTTCCACCTCCCTCCCGCATTTCCCACCTCCCTCTCTTTCGCCATCTCCCACTTAACTCCCGTCACCTCCTACCTCAATCCGGCCATCTCCCACCTCCCCGCATGCAACCTCCTACCTCCCTTTCGCCACCTCCAACCTCCCGCCCGCCATCTCCCACCCTCCTCTCCATCTTCCACCTCCCTCTCGCCATCCCTCACCTCCCCGCCAGTATGGAAAAGGCTGATTCGGGCACATCTCTGCATGCGCAACAGCCCCCCATCACCTTTTTTTTTTTTTAAATAAAAAATAGCTCGCACGGGTGACCCATGCAGCCTGCACGGGTGCACAGCCGGGCAGCTCAGGAAGCCTACATGTGAGGATGGGTAGTGTGGCAGTCCCACCCTCGCACGTCTGGGCGCCCACTACCAGGGGCAATCGATGCTGGCAGGAATCTCACACAACACTGTTTTGATACATTCCAAACTCAGCTTGTATAATGGTACGCTGGACCCGTTTTCCAGCAGGTGCTGCTCCCCACCAATAGATGGAGCTCCTCCCCAGGCGCTAGTGGTGTCTGCTCTTATCAGCACCACTAACACTGGCGGTTTTTTTTTGTAAAAAACAAAAAAAAATAGTACCAGGAAGGTGACCCCTAGGAAGTGTCCGTTCCGGCGTGGCCGACATCATGAATACGTGGGAGCCATGAGGCCATACCTGGCCGGCGTGTGGTCTGTGATTGTTGCCAGTGAAATACCACTAGACCGGGGCACACACCCCCCCGGAAAACTTCCAACTCGGCGTGGCCGGAATAGTACTGGGGGTTGCCTACTGCGAAGCTTCCATTCCAGCGTTCCTATGACAGTACCCACCCTAGCAATCATGTATCAAGGGTGTAGAGCTTAGGGTTTAGGGATTAGGTTCCAAAGGGAGGAGGATAAATGGAGGAGGATGAATGTGGCCACCCTCGATATCGTATGGTGAATAAAGGTAGGGAGGAGCTAGTGACTCAGTGAATATTAATGGCGGTCTGCCGACAAACTGACGAGGTGATCCCCCCACATGTTTCTTTTCTTTTCTTTTCTTTCTTTCTTTCTTTCTTTTTTTTTTTTTTTTTTTTTTTTTTAAAACCCATTCACGCCGGTGATAGTGGTGCTGATAAGAGCAGACACCACTACCACTCGGGGGAAGGCTCCATCTATTGGTGGGGAGCATCACCTGCTGGAAAACGGGTCCAGCGTCCCATGTACAATGTGATACAATGTGATACAAAAGAGAAGAAGACAAGTCCTGCTGGCATTGATTACCCTGAGAGCCAGGGGATTGACCAAGCAAGGGACTGAGATTGATTGAGCCGGATCGGGGTAGGGGGCCTCTTCGCCTCAAAATCGGCGCCAGATAATTTCTGCTATGTACTGGCTCCTCTACCCCCTACCAGCTCCCGAAAACTGTCGACACATGTTTCAACCGGTCCCTGTCTTTCAATGTACGCTGGGCCCGTTTCCCAGCAGGTACAGCTCCCCACCAATAGATGCAGCCTCTTCTGAGGAAGCTTGAGGCGTCTGCTCCTACGAGCGCCTCAAGCTGATCCCCGGGTTGTTTTCTTAAAAAGAAAAGAAGACAGTACCCGCCCTCGGCCAAAAAAAAAAAAAAAGAAGAACCGAAGATGGTATAAAACTTACAAAGGGCATACTTACACTAGCACTTTTTCTACTAAGCTATGGATGTCATTGCGGTGACATTCATCGGGGTCTGCCCAGAATTGTGGTCAGGTACGTTCAGGCAAGTGCTAGTGTGAGTGTGCCCTATGAACACCTCAGAGTGTCAGCTTGCCTTTCCTTTTTCTTTGTTACCATTATTTTTCTGAACCAGAAAGGCTTTCAAGGCCCAGGACTGATCTGGCTGAAGGGTGTGCTGAATGTCCATAGGGATGCTCAAAAACTTTGCTGGACTGTTTCACCTTCACTTATTTTCCTGTTAGATGGAAGGGGTAGGGAGAGGGATGGAGAGGGGGAAGGTCAGAAACTCTATTCATACTTTAATGGTTTAGAGAATAGCAAAAAAGAGAGAAAATTTGCTGCAAAATCCTGCTAGGATCAGCAAGACGACCCACTAGGGCCTACTCACGCTAGGACTTTTCTGGATGGATCTTACTGCAATTGCAGAGCAGTAAAGAAGCGTCTAACCGCGATTACGTCCAAGCTGAGTAGAAGAAGTCCTCGTGTGAGTATGCCCTTAGATCGATATATATCTGCCCAAGGGTTTCTACTCTCTCTCAACAATTAGGAAACACCTCCACTGGTCTTGTCCAGGCGAAGGCTCTGGTTCGTCAAACACTCAACGGGTCAAGCAATTAAACCACCAGTACCTTTCCCTGCTCGAGAAACAAATACACGGCTGGCAGCCGATAATAAATTTCATCGGCGGCGGATCTCCGAAAATTGCGGTGGAGGGGGCACGGCTGATATATGGGAAAGGTACTGGTGGTTTAAACCACCAGTACTTCCGAAAGTTGCGGCCATATACAAGTCGCAACGTCCTGGGCCGACTCTATTTTTTGCCGCAGCTGATGTATGGGCAAAGTACTGGTGGTTTAAACCACCAAAAACCACCAGTACTTCTGAAGTCAAGGCTATAAACGAGCCGCAACGCGCTGGGCCAAACGGGCCGGGCAGCTCCAGTCCCAATCCGTTCAAGTGGAAACGTCACGGCTCTATTTTTTGCCTTTGCCGATGTATGGATGGAGTACTCTTGGTTTAGGGTTGCATCATTTCTCCCGCTGAGAAGCTACCCCGCAACCAACTGACTATTGGGGGTTCCTACAACAGGTATTGCACTGCTGTCTTCACCGAAATAGAACGCCCAGTCATCATAGACGTGTTTGGGTCAACATTCATCCCGGAGGGAGTGATAACGGACAGGCTGGGGTGGCTGGGCATTCGATTCGTGTGAAGAGGGTTGCCATTGGCAGACAAAACACCTTGTAGGCATTCTATTCCTGCGAGCACCTTAAAATGACCCTCGTTGGACAACCAAACCGTGACGTAGGTTTATGAGATTTAAACCACCAGTTACTTCCGAGGCACTTCGCTCCGGGGCTGGAAACACCCTGTGCGGCAAAAAAAAAACGAAACGCCCTGAGCGCCAAAAAAAAAAGAACCAGCGCGGGCCTCCTTTTGGCTGGAGCTGCCAACCATTTTGCTCCGGAGGCCGAGGCCCGAAAGTTGTGGCTGCATGCAAGATGCATATTTCATTCTTTGGCTGGGAAACATAGTGGCGGTTTAACGAAGTCTTTGCGATGACAGGGGGATTTCACAAATTTTCCACATTGTCCCACAGGACTAACTGAGTCCCTTTTACACTCCCACTGTATTCCCCCTTCACCTGTGTTTAAGGGCCAAGAGGCACCCACAAGTGGCCCCCACTTTTGTTGCGCTTGCGCTAAGCTAGCATGAACCTAGTCAGCATCACCATCAGATTTGTGCCTCCTTGCAGATGCGTACTCCTCTCCTCTCTCACACTTTCCCCTCCCTGTTCTCTTTTTCTGTTCTCGTGATATTTCTCCTCGATTTGGGCCCCTCCTCCTCCTCCTCCTCCTCCTCCTCCTCCTCCTCCAATTGGTGACACATGAGTGTGAATGGCTCATGCAGATCTCAAGAGTTGAGCTCAAGGACACGTATGAAGCATTCGAGAAGGATGGGGGCTGGTCAATAAGCAAGTCTCTTTTCAAGGCCAGATGCGGGCCGTACCCACAGGCATGACATTACCACCAGCCTGCTCACTCTGCTTCTTTTTTTGCCTTTCTTTCTTTTCAAACCATCCTGCTTACTCTACAATGCCTACATACACCTTCTATTGCCCTTAGAGAGCTTTAGAAAGAACCTGGTCCAGCACTTCACACGGGCCTAAGTTCACAAAGCAATACCTTCCAACGCTCACGAGCCTGCGACTGTGCCTTTCCACCAAAGTGACCTGCCAGTTCTGCTACCGGCCCCAAATCTAAAAGCTCTTACCGCGTAAACGGGTAAAAGGCATACTATGCTTCGGGTGAACTGGCTGTTTAACCCCCCAGTACTTGGCCCAGCTACTGGCCGCGGAAAAAAATAGAGTAGAAACGTTTCTAGTTGGATGAATTTGGGCACTCCTGTAGTGGCCCGTACATTTCCTAAAATTGTGGCTTGATAACGGGTTCAACTTTAGGTGGGAAGTATTGGTTGTTTAAGACATAGATTGATAGTGGGAAAATCTGCGTGGAAAATTTGTGAAGTGCCCCTGAAAGCTCAGGTATATGCCATAATACCCCCAGAATACGTGCATAGAGACCGTAGAGCGGAATACCGCTCTGACATTTCAGAAGTTTGTGAAATAGCCTTTTGGGAAGTTTTGAGTTTAAATCTTTGCATTATATCCCTGTCAAGGGGGTTGCCAACTTTGTGTTATAAGCCAAAGATCAACCATTAGAGGACCCGAGTGAGATCGTCGGGAGCGCAGCGCGGCCGGGAGCGCTGCGCCCTGCCTGGTACCGGAATCACGGGAGCACGATGCAGCAATGCGTGGCGAGGGCGAGCACAGAGCGGTGCGTGAACAGAGCGGCGCGAAGTAGCATGGGCCAAGGGCGAATACCGTGGCAACGGGGGAAGTGATACTGGTGGCAAAGGGGACGAGAGGATGGGGATGAGAGGAGATTGTCGCCTTGCCCAAGTTGGCGTTCAGGATGCTACTGCACGCCATGGTGTGAAACCGCGAAGCGCTTTGATAAGCTTATGGCGGAATACTGTGAGGGCGCGTGCTGAGGTGTAAAACGACGATGGCGTGCGTTGGAGATTTTGTGGAGGCAAGGTAGGAGGGGGGCGTGCGATGGCAGGTTGTGGGTTGCAGTGGAGTGGAATGGGGATTATGCCGAGGAGCTGGTGGGTGGGGCGAGCGGGGGGTTGATGGTGGGGGATTTCCTTTACTTGCCTTTTACTCTCTCTCTTTTTTCTTGACTTAGTGGCCTCCAGATCGTTGGGCAGGGACTGAACTCTCTGTGAGGTCGCGTCAACAGGTTTGACGTGGTTACTCACAGCGCAATTGTATCTGGGCAGTGATAAGGAGGTGATTGTGTCCTACCAAATCTCTTCTGGTCAGTGCAGCTTGCCGAGGGGCTACATTAGCACAGGCTATGGGGAGGCGAACGTGTTCCTCCCGCAGGAAGAGGCAAGGGCTGAGTTTGGTCTCTACAGCGGCGGGGCAGCTGGATCAAGGAACTGCGAGAGTGGAGCGCTACGTGATGGATTGCACGGACTAAGACTCACTTTACGCAGCAACGGAATCTCGTGGTGCAGCAGCCTATTTTTTAGCGTGATTGTGATGGATGATTGACCATTAGTAACTCTTGAGGCATGACCTATTTATGTTGTTTTTGGGTTCAGAATCTATGTTTTGATTTCGTTTTCCTGCTATGAGAAATTTTTAGAAGATTTATTGGATGCCAATGGATGGTAATCCTAAGTTCTTAGTTGATCTCAATCGGTAGTTCGTAATGGTTCTCTCATACATAATTGATTGTTGAATTAGTTCTCTGCCTAGTATTTCCTGATTTACTTTCTGAGTGATTCTTTGAGAAATTAGAGTCGTAAATCCTTTTGGACATCATAATCGATTCCCTATTTTATTTCCCCATCGGGATTCAAATTTTACCTTCATCTCGATTGATGTCCTGAATCTCGATGATAAAATTCATGATTCAAACTTCGTTTGCATGACTCATAAAAAATTCTTAAAAATTCTTAATTCGGTTTTCCCAAATTTTGAAATTTGTACTCTGATTTTGTAGACGGAAATCTGGGATTTTTTCCTATTTTTTAAATTCTTACTCAACGTGGGCTAGGTTGGATAAATTTAGCTCTTACAAATTTTTTCGAATAGTGTTTACTCAAGTAATTAGTTCTATCTTGTTGTTCTTAGTAAGGGAGTCTCAATCCGTGATGTTGTGGGATCAAGGTCAGAGGTGTTGGAATGGATATCTCCTTTAGGGTTGGAGTCCTTCCCTGCGTGGGTTACACAAGGTGGGTGGTGTGATCTTTGTGAGGGTAGGGGCGGTATTGAGGGTTTATCCTTTTTTTTTTTTTGGGCCACGCTAATTTTTGGGTCGGATCAGCTATGGTGGTTGGGGAGAAAGGACAAGGGGTGTTGATGTCGGCAGGGTGAGAGTTGAGAGGGCTGTTCCGCTTGGAGGTGGTGGAGCAGGAAGGAAGGTGGATCTTCGGCTCTGTCGGGGCATACTTTAGGGGGTATTGTATGCGACTGAGGGAGCAGGAGGGATGTTCTGGAGGCTGTTCTGAACTGGGGCGGGGAGGCGAGGGGACGCCTTGCCGCGGAGGCAGTGAACAGACAGGGGGTTGTCTTTTGGGGAAGAGGAGTAATCCCTTGGCTCTTGTGACCCCTTTACATGTAACTGAGACTTCAATAGGCGTTGGACTTTCCATATGGAGAGAGGGTGGTTTTTCCCTCTCTTCCCCTCTCCCTGTGGGAATACTGGGCACTGAAATGTTCATGTGATTTTTCAGGATTTTTGTGCCTGTTTTTCCTAATTTTTTCTAATTGAAAAATTCTTCCAAGGTTTGGTGCTGGAGGCAGGGGGTTGTGGTGGATGTGACTGAGGGAGATGACGCGCTCTGCGACGAAGGGCCTAGCCTGTAGGGTTAAAATAGGGTACAGAAGCGGTGGAGATGGTGGCTTCATCGTGGTAAGACTTGCCGGAGTTGGATCAGGGGGATTTTGGGGGGGGTATCTGCAACCAGTACATGAAGGAGATGAGTGATGCGATCTACAACTATGGTGCTGATTGGTGGTTTGACTGCTTTTTGCCTTAGTCTTGAGTCCCGGTGGTTTGCGAATAGACGAGGCCAGAACGACGCTGGTTGGTGCTGGGGCTTGGTCGTGCTGCCCTATAACTCGAGCTGTACGAGGGCATGAGACCTGGTAGAGAGATCTGGGGAGTTGTCGAGGGTGGAAGGCACTCTAATGTCTTTTGGTGAGCTGGTGCCTAGTCGATGCTGGCCGGAGCCGGGGCGGGGCGCTTTGCCCTGTGGCCTAGCAGGTGGGGTTTTTTTGGGGTGGGTCGTGCCACTCTGTAACCTAGCAGTTGGGGGCATGAGGCCTGGTAGAGATTGGGCATCGGGATATAGGGGTGAGGCAGGTAGGGTTGGGCTGCTGAAAGGCCCTAAGGCAGGTGGTTTTTTTCGTTCAGATTGCTTCTTCGATCCGAGCTTTGGAGGACAGAGAATTTCAGTATTCTTGTGTAGGTTACACAGTTGTCTTTTGGTCCTGGTATCTCAAGGCTTTCTTCATAAATTTGTCATTTTTTCAAAAAAAGAACTAGAGGATGGGAGGTAGTAAGGGGGCTCTCAACAGGGGAAGGGTTGTTTGTTTAGGTAAGTAGGTTAGAAGGACGATGCTGGGATGACACAGGCCGGTGCTGGAGTTTTGCTCAGTGACCTAGGGGGAGCTTGAGGCCTGTGGAGTTATGCTGAGGGTGGAAGGCATGACCAGACCGTCTGACGTAGCCGGCGCCGAGGTGTTAAGCCTGTAACCTGGTGTCAGGGGCTTGCCGCTAAGGGAAATGCCGAGGGAGGAATGCACTTCCTGTCCGTCAGAACTAGGTTGGTCAGTACTGGGGAAGGTTGTGGTGCCCTGTTACCCTAGCAGAAGGGGGTATGAGATCAAGTGAGTTCTGGTACGAGGACTGAAAGCTTGGACCGACGTTCCGTCTGTTGAGGGGGGGAGTTTTGGATAGTAGGTGGGTTCAGTTTTGACCCTCCGCTCTCATATTTCCAAGCTTCTTCAGACTTTTTCTGAATTTTAGCCTATCTCATGAGGKCTTTTGTCTAATAGGCTAGAAATTGCTCATGATCCTGTTCKTAGCCGAAGYCTGGTAATGGCCCCGSTATCTCGATTTTTTTCCGTATATGTTCTCCAAATGTTCCTAATGGGACGCTGGCCCTGGTTCCCAGCACGTGTGGCTCCCCACAAATAGATTGGAGGCTTTGGAGCATTGTCTTTTTTTTTGCTTTTGTTTTTGTTTTTTTTTAAAAAGGGATAGAATGCAAACTTGCAGAACCCCACGACAGGGTTAGAATGCAAAGATTCAAATCCATATAAGAGCAGTCAACTAACTTCTGGAATTACAGAGGTGTACTCTGCTATACCCTGCGGGCATTTTAACTTCTTAACCACTTGGGGTATTCTGCCATACCCACCTTCAAGGGAAAACACACCCCAAGGGATGGCCGCTGGAAACATTCCCCCATACAGCACCAGTTGCGGGTGGGGAAAACAGGCCCTACTCACTGTCCATGGTTGTCTGCTGCTTTCACATTTGCCTTCGTCAGAAAGGAGGGGCAACTGAGTGTGTAGACGCATCAGTCACTAAAACTGGGGTGGGGCAAGCAGTGCAGCGAGGCTCATAGACACAGGGAGAGAGAATGGTGGGGGGGAATTGGGGGGGGGCGGGGGGAAGGACAGACAAACAAAACAGATAAACAGGCAGAAAGACAAACTGACAAATGGACAAACGGACAAACAAATGGACAAACTGACAAACTGACAAACTGACAAACAGACAAACGGACAAACAGATGGACAGAGCTGCCACTGTGATCTATGTGGTGGCAGAAGAGACCAGAGGTCACTAAGGCCCTTGCCACACCACTGTCGAAACGAAAAAGGTACGACTGCATGTTCCCGCAATTAGTGGCCAGATGCATCCATTACTATGAATAGTAACAGATGCATCTGATCGCTTTCCGGGGAAGATGCGCTCGTACTTTTCTCGTTTCGACAGTGGTGTGGCGAGGCCCTAATATGTGATGCATATGTGTATGTGTGTTGCACGTACGCACGCACGCAAGAGAGAGAGAGAGAGAGAGAGAGAGAGAGAGAGAGAGAGAGAGAGAGAGAGAGAGAGAGAGAGAGGTAGCTGAAAAACACTGGCATTGAAGTCCCCAACTAGAAGCTATATTACATCAGAAGGGAGAGGTGGTTGCAGTGCACACACAGCTGAACTGAAGTGCCCGGCCACAATATATGTCATGTGACTTGTGTCAGAATACACCTGATACCCATGATCCAAGAACCCTGCTCAGGTACCTGCCTGATGACTGAATGATACATACTTGTAACTATTCATAAGCAGGTCAAGAGCTCAAATCCTATTGGACACAATAATATTAAGGGCTAACTCCTTTGAAAAAGGTTCAATTTCAAAGAACAAAGAACCCTGCCCTGTGTCTTGGCTGTCGGGGATGTAGAGGGGCACATACGCGTTGGCAATTCTTACATATTTAATTTATTGTCTGATTTCCAGCTGTAGGCCTAGGGGATGTTCACCACCTCTCTCTCCCACAACATACCACCTAAGCATTGTAATTTCTCAATGGGTAATAAATAGCAGGCCACTATCTGTCAAACATAAATAATCGTGCAAAAAAAAATAAAAAAATCCATTATGATTCTTTATGAAGGAATACGAACACACAAATAGGCCATGGACATACTCATTCCTAATTCCACAGTACTCATGGAACCAAGAAATGACAATAATGATAACAATAATAACAACAATAACAACAATAATAACAATAATAAAGTCCCAGATGTCAGCCAAGAGGTTAAGGGTAGGACTATCCTTCCCGTCTGACATGGTGTTTTTTTTTGCAGTAGGGACACGCTAGTGCAGCGGTAACGCTGCACTAGTGCGTTACGATGCGCGGGTGGCGGGCGATCGCACGGGGGCACCTGCGGATAAGCTGCGCTTAGCCAGAACTTGCTGTTGGGTATGGCGGAGGTGGAGAGGTGATAGAGCGTGTGGGCGCTGAGGTGGAGGCTGCTTCGAGGGGGCACAACCATGCACCTGCCATAGCCTGATCGTGGCCAACGAAAGTTGGTAATCCTAGATTGGCCGCAGACGGAAGGGGAGAGATGCAGGGTTGGTCGGCGGGCAAGATCTGCTCATCGTACATATCAGTAGTATCACCTGATCAGGGGCTTTTGACCTCTGATTACAGATACGGAACACGATCATGTTGCAATGGCGGTTGCAGTTTTATCTGTGCGAAGAGCTGGAGAAAAAGGACAAGAGTGCATCGACAAACGCTGACTTCCGGGAGTGAGAGAACGGACTTCATGCCGCGACCAGTATTGCCCACCGTCACTGATAACGGGTTTCAAGCTGCGGCATTGTTGTCTAAGCTCCTACGTCGGGTGTGGTGTTGCTCATGATTCTCT